AAGTGATCTTCCTGCCTCAGCCTCCGGAAGAGCTGGGACTATAGGTGCATGCTACCACCTTGGCTAACTTTTTATTTTCTGTAGAGACAGGGTCTCACTATGTTGCTCAAGTTGGTCTTGAACTCATGGCCTCAAGCGATCCTCCTTCCTAGCCTCCCAAAGTGCTAGGATTATAGGTGAGCCACCATGCCCAGCCTATATATATATATATTTAAAAATAGTGTCTCCTGATTATATAATACATTAAAATTTTAAATAATTTCAAAAAATACAGGAAATCATTAAGAAATAAAAAACTCAGATCTCTGATTCTTAACATTTTTGGTGTATTTCCTTTCAATCTTTTTTGCTATGCATTTATATGTGCATATATATTTTAATAAAGTTAATATTATATTCTATGTGCTGTTTTATATCCTATTATTTACCACTGTATTATGAATACTTTCTTATATCTTTAAATGTTTTCAAAAACATTTCAAAAGTGAAATTTCTAAGTTGTTTAGTGTTTTATAATATAAACATAATTTTATTTAATAATACCTAACTGTTGGACACTGAGGTTGTTTCTAAATTTTTGCTACTGTCAAACAAAAATTATAGGAGGCCATGCTTTGGACTAAGTTTCTGCACTAGGTCCCAACAGACCAGACTAAAAATCGAAATGGAGTCACCCATATTAAAGTTCCACACCACCCGCACTAAGTTGTCTGACCTTTGAAGAAATCAGCAGAAAGAGGTAACAGCCAATTTCCCCAACAGTCCAGTTTAAAATCTTCAATCAGCTTGATATTGAAGTTCCCTCCGCTTTAATCCTTACACACACAAAAAGATAGCCTGACGTAACAGGATGTGAACCAGTAGTTCTTCTACCGTTCTGTCTAAAAGTAACCAATACACTCTTTATTCTTTCCTTCTGCTTTCTTCAGCCCTTTCCTTCAGCTTTCTTCTGTCTATAAAGCCAAAGTCTTGTCAGCTCACTGGAACACTTACTCTATTTTATGGAATGAAGTGTTGCCCAATTCCAGTATTGCAAATAAAATTTAAATTTGTTGCAATTTTTTCTTTTGACACTACCATGACACTGTGATAAACATTTTAAACTCAAATCTTTGTGTGTATCTCTAATTTTCTTTGGATAAATATCTAAAAGTGTTATAACTGGGTCAAAGGTATAAACATTTTAAAAGCTAGTACTACCAAATTGCCCTCCACAAAAGTTGTTCCAGGCCGGGCGCGGTGGCTC